TCAAAAACGGGGGGGTGGGGAGGGAAGTGCACAGGATTTTGGTGAGGTGATGGCACACAGGTGACATGGTGATGGGAAACCCGTGAGGGTTACAATTGAGATAGAAAAAAAAAATGTACAAAATGATGTAAAAAAAAAAAAAGAAGAAGAAGAAGATATTCAATATTAAAATATCCCTAATTTAAGCTTGGTACTTTATAAAGCACTGTGTTTGGGGAGCACTCATTTGAAACATTTATTCTAAAAATTCGCTTTGCCCTGCACAGAACATTATCAGTATTTTCCTTCAATACTACCTGGAAAAACTATTATACTATCCATGGGGAAGAGGGCTGAACCTTCTATGAACATGATGGCATAGTTGAGTATTTCTAAAATGAATCTGATATTCAATGCCCCAGGGAAGTCATGTCATTTGGAAGGAGTTCTGTTTCTCGGAAACAGCTTGGGTCAGAGAGAACAGTTTCAACAGACCACACAATTTTTACTATTATGACTGAATGTTTATTGGACCCCAATGAAGTGCTATGTTAGATAGAAATTAGGGAATTATTTTTTTAAAAGATTTATTTATTTATTCATATGGAACTGGGGTACAAGCCAGAGATGCGGAGGGTGAAAGGCTTCACCAGAGACAGAGTGGGGAGCAGAACAGGCAGATGGACGAAGTACACTGCTAAGGGGAGCAGCGGGTGGGTCAGGAGAGGTCTGCCACGCCATGTGGTCACCTCCGGGGCAGGCAGGAATTGAACTCATGCAGAAGTGGCTTTAGCTTCTCAGTGCCGTGCTTTAACCCGCTGCACCACCAGGGAGGGCCCGGGAATTATTTTTAAAGATTTATTTATTTCTGTATAGAGGACCTAGGGTACAAGCCAGATATGCAGGGGGTAAGAGGATTCACCAGAGACAGAGTGGAGAGCAAAATGGGCAGAGTGACTGAAATACACTGCTGAGGGGAGCAACAGGCTGGACAGGAGAGGTCTGCCACACCATGTGGGTCACCTTGTAGCTTTGGGTAGCCTCACAGTACTGTATTTTAACCCCTTGTGCCATCAGGGAGGGCACACAATTAGGGAATTAATTAGATATAGTTCTGATAGGAAGGAGGAGGAGCAGTCCATAAAAATGGCAACCAAACAAAGTACAGGATTATGTGCTATAGCAGTATACATAAGAAGAAATGTTTGCATTTTCATCCTTAGTCTAGTTGACTACAAGGACATTTAAATAAAGACAATGTTTTCAACAATGCCACTGAAACTTTCCACCAAGAATTTTTCCTATGAAATGAGACTACTTATTACTGATGAAAACTCTTATAATTTCTTACCTTGATCTATTTCTGCTTTCTTTTCTTTACATCTGAAATGCCCTGCCCCCTCCTTTCTGTTCCTTCGTTAGTTTTTATTCAAGAGCTGTATCATGTCATCTATTAGCAAAGTTACTTCTATCTGTCCTAATCTCTGAAAACAACATGATTTTTGCATCCTTCAAAGGAACTTCTATATTAATAGTAACATTTTGACATCCCTTTTCTAGGCTATAACAGTGATGGAAAGAGCTGTAGCTTATTGACTTTAATTTCTTCCCAGGCTTAGTACAGAGTGAGCAGACAACAAAAATTTCTCTAATTTAATTGCAGTTAAAATATACAATGTCAAGCCTGACAAGTCAGTTTCTTAAAGTAATTTCCATCCCATTATCTACTCTCACAACACTATATAACCCTTAACAGATATACATCTATTTGTGTGATATATGTTCTCCCTGATCACAGAATGGGCTCAACATTACAGCATCAGAGCAGATTATCATCTGCCAGATGCTCAATAAATATCTACTGAATAAAGGATGGAAGGAAAAAAATGTGCAAACTACTAATCTGGAAATCAAGACATCTAACTTCTAGCCCTGCCTAACACTAACCAGCTACAATCCTTAGGAGAAACTACTGAATCTCTTTAGAACTTCATTTACTTGTCCATAAGACAATCCACCTGAGATCTCACCTAGCAATAAAGTATGCTTATAAATATATATAACAAATGCA